CACACACACACACACACACACACACACACACACACACACACACACCCACCCAACTATGTCAATAACAGATGATCTCTCGGCTTCAGATGGAAAATCCAGCACAGTAAAGATGTTTGATCAGGTTAAAAGGTGGTGTACTGTAAAGAACATGTTTTTTTTTATTTAAATTGACTAACACATCATTTCTGCCACAGATCAGTTTGATTTAATCTCATTTGTACCATTTTAAGTTCAAATTACAAACTGCCTGACCTTAAAGGTCTAGCATGGCTTGAGGAAATCCATATCACCCAGAGTCATTTGTACCAAAGTCTTAGACAAAAAAAAAAGACCAGAAATAAGAAAAGATGGAGTTATAGCTGTTTTGAGAAAACCTTGTAAGTGATATAATCAATCTCATAAAATAATTAGTGCTGGGCACATTAGAGCTTTATTGCATTAATACAGCCAATGCTTAACAGTGATAATGTGTGTTAACACAGTTAGTTATTTCTTTATATTTGTCTGTCGAATATTTGTTCACTGGGCAGCTAAAACACACACAGACACACACAGACCCAGCCTTCGTCACACGTCTCATCCACTGAGAGCCTTTGTTGACGAGCCGTTGTGCAGCAATACGCAGCCGCTCTCTTGAACCCGAGCTGCAGCCGGGGCAGAAACATGGAAGTCACCTGATTCTTCAGGACATTTTTTTTATTTTTAAACTTTTYCCAACAGCAGGCTGAAAGAAGTAAAGTTATCTGTAAGCGCTGCAACACTAAACTGTCTCACCACCAGAGCAGTTCGAGCCCAGAATATCACTTCAGGTTAAAACCAGAGTAAACAAACGGAGGGACGGTTTTACAGACAAAGCTGGCCAGAGTGTTGGAGAAAAACAAACAAAAAAAAGTAAGACCGGCTTGCTTTATCTCATTTGTTTAAAGTTTCGGAAAATGCATTGCCCCGTTTTTATAAAACAATACTTTAAAAAAATGCTCTAAACATTCGTACAGTACTGCATTTGAGTCAACTAAATTGTGTGCAGAATAATGAGATTACATCAAGAATTCAAGGAATATTTTTGGTCACGAGGAATTAAAGATAGATGCTGAGCTCCCAAAAATAACAAAACAATGTGTCACACATGGAGAGTATTGCAACATGCAAACCCACAAATTCAGCCACAGTAGAGTGATTGTTTCTAAAACAATGGGCCTCATGCAAGAACCGTTCGTACGCACAGATTTGTTCTTAAGTTGTGCGTACGAGTGATTTAGGAGAATTT